TGTCCTTGCTGCCCCCAGCCAGCTCCCTCCCTGGAGCCTGTCAGGGACCCTTCCTGGCTGAGGCACCCAAGCTCAGCAGAGAGGGTTGGAAAAGGGATGCCTGTGGCCCAGGGAGGACAAGGTCTGATTGGTGTAATGGGACCCCAATTTAAAGCACTTCTTGATGTTTCTGACTTGTTTTTAAGTCTGAAGCCCTCACATCCCCCTCTGCAGCCCCAACACTCCAATGTCTTTCACAGTGCCCGTGTCCCCTTCAGCCTTACCCCAGCCCAGTGCCTCAGCTCCTCTGTTCTTGGCAGCAGGAGATGGGTATGGTGGGCCTGAGCTGTGCCTGGCTTCTCCTTCACGCTCTTGGCTTGGGCTCTGCTACATCCCTCTATCCGTGCCCAGCCTTTCCCCCTCTTTCCTTTCCCCTGTTATGGTCTCCTGTATTTCCTTCTTTCACCCTCCCTTCCCATCCTTTCTCTCCCAGTCCATGCTCTAGTTTGCTCATAGCCAGTGAGGTTGTTTTGGGGGTAGAAAACAACCTTGCCAAGAGCAGCATTTTGCTGTCCCCTGGATTTATTTGGCAGTCTGGCAGACCCCAGTTAATACAACCACAAATAAAAATGTGCCTTTCAGGACATATATTAGGAGAGAACTGGTTAAACCCTGGGTGGGTGGAAGTCAATGGAGCACCACTTGCTTCCAGGGGGCTCCCCTGATTTACACCTGCTGAACTCAGGCCAAACATTTGCATTTACAGTGAACAGACATGATAAAATGGAATAAAAACAAAATATTAAACTTGATCCCATCTTAAAGCTTTATGTGAACTATAAATGTGTTTGAAATAAATCAGGTACATTTTATGGGCCCTGTAAGTCAGACCCCTTGGCTTTCAGAGGATTGAGGTGCAAAGCCAATTGTTCAGCTCTCCTGCTTCTTCCTGTGGAGGGTCGATGCTCTGTGGAGAGTTGATGCTCCCTGGAGGTGTTCTCTGTTCAGAATATGGGCTACAAGTGCTTGCCTTGACTGAAGAGTCAAGCCCTCCAAAGTCAGGGGATGCTGGAATTGGGCCTGCGTGGGTAACATGAACTCACTTTTCCTGGCACTTCTGAGTTATGAAATGCCCTCTAGCCACAGACATGGCTGATTTTTCACATCTCACTCATTTTATGTGGCTTACTATTTATTTTCAGGTTTAGATTTATGGGAAATTCCTTTAGATGTTGACTGAGACACTAAATAAGGGAAAAAATAAAACAACTGAAGGAAAACTTCCTTTCCCTTATAGATGATCTACCACTGTGTTAAATTTCAGGTTCATACTTGGGGCATCTGGCATTACCATTGTTCAAAGAGATCTGAAAGACAGCAGCTAAATTATTCCTAATCTTGTCTCCTAGGCTGCTTAAAACATGGTTATGTTGCTCTAAAAAATACATATATCCCAAGGCAGAGAGCGTGGGTTGAAATGAGGGGACAGGTGAATTTAAAAGTAACTAAAAGCAGGGTTACAGAGGCAGTTGTGGCTTGTGGCTTGCCTTCAGTGAAGTCTGCAATGGTACATGTTTTGGGGCTTGCAGAGCAGAGCACCTGTTTTCCTTACTGCTTTAAGGGCTTTTCCTCAAGTCCTCCCATAGCTGCAGCATGCTCGGTGTCTGAGCACCCTCTTTCAGCAAAAAAGCAGCTTCTCAGCTCAGGGTTGCGGCATTTTGTGAGAGTTTGTGTTGGTTTCTGCTTGTGATGTTTGAGTGACTTTCAAACACAGGGCAGCAAAATCCCTCCTGATACACCACAAAAAGTGATAGGGACAAAGTCTCTGCTCATGAGGGGGATTATGCTGGTCCCCTGTGCCACTGTTTGATCCCTCCTGCTCTTCAGCACCTGCTGCTGTTTCTTCGGATGAGTCTGGAGAAAGCCTCTAGCTGTGCATGCCCCAGCTGGTGGTGCAGGTGTGCCCAGGCAGCTCCAGCAGCCCACGGGGCATTCACCACAGCACCTCTGCTTGTGCCTGCTCTCCGGGCCTCTTCTCTTTGCTAAAAGGAGCTCACCTGGGGCGTTTCATCTGGTCTTGCCTGAGCCTCTGGGACTTGAGCCAGGGAGGGGGGCAGGTCTGCTCTGGACCCTGGCTGCAGCAGCCAACAGAGATGGTGGGGTGTGGATGTATCCCAAACCGTGGTGCCCCATAACAGGGCACAGAAATACAGCCCATGCAGCACCTGCAGAGTCTCCACCAAGCTTTCTCTGTCTGAGAACCCTTCTATGTCTGAGTTTCTAGTGGTCCAGGCTACACTTGGAACGGGACAAAATGGGCATTCTAGAACCGGGAAACTGGCAAGGCTGTTTATCCCAAATGTCTGGCACTGATGTTCACTAAGATAAAAAAAGAATAAAGGAGGGAAAAAATGCTGCAAACTTACATGACAAGCCAAATCCTGGGATTTATTGCTACCTCCTGAGGGATTAGAGTAGCAGAAAGGAGCTGAGCCTGTTTTCTCTCTGATGAGTGATTGCAATGGGTACTGTCCCTCTTTAGCCTTCCCGACAAGAACTTTGGCTTTGCTTCATGCACCTGAGCTGCGGGATAAATTGTTGGGGTGATCTCACAGACCTTGAGCAGCTTAAGTTACTGTGTGGCTTTGCTGCATTCCAAAGTGCCTGGTGAAGTGGGAAGCAGACCTCCCATTATCACACGTGACCCCACTTCTCTGTCACTTTGGCTAGGGCTCTTTGCTGCCCCTGTCCTCCCCCGTGCCTGTCACACCTGCCCCTGCCATGGTGATATTTGCTGCACGGTACCTGTGTGCCACGGGGTGTCCTTGGAGCGCTCCATCCCGGCCCTTTGTGGCTTTCATGGGTCTTTCTCAAAGGGACAGGCTTTGTTCCTGCCCCTGCATGACTCTGGGCACTGGCCACCCTGCTGTGAGCAGGGGAGCCACCAACACCAACATCTCCTTGTCGTTTTGCACTACTCACTGTCCCCTTTGAGGTCTGCAAAGCACCAGGCCGACCCAAGGCTCCAAATGGATACAGGTGTTATTATCATATCAATATCCCATTATCATAATGAAAACCAGGACAGGAAGGAGGTGGCTGCACATGGAACAACGCCTGCCAGATGCAGCCAATTCCTTTATTTCCAGTTCTGATGGGATCACAGAGCTCATGGCAAAGCATTTCTGCTCCTTCAGAGTTGTCCACCTGCCCCTTCATGTCAACACATCTTTTGGCCCCCATATGTGTAAATTCATTTATTTACTGGCACACTTGCATCTACCCAATGAAGATAATAAAGGGCAAAGCGTGACTCACGGACTGAGCTGGAAAATCCCCACAGCAGATCTGACACTGATACATACATTGCATTTTTAAAAGTTCTTTATTCTGCTGCCTGTTATTCACACAATGCATTTCATAGGCAGCTTTCCCCAGAGATTCCCTCTGTCTCTTTTCACCATGCTCCTGCCAGCCCATGGCATCACTCCTGCCTCTTCCAGGGACCATTTTCCTTCCTGCATCCCTGCGTAGCCTCCACTCTCTTGCTGAACCAGCCCTATGTCTCTGTTCCTTCCCTGGCTCCATTTTAGAGTTTATTTGTGCTGCATGACCACACAAGGTGGGACATCAGGTGCCAAGGAAATCTCTGCCAGGCTGCAGGGCTGGTTTTGGATGGGCTCCTAAGAGGCAGCCAAGGACCATCCATGTTTGGCAGATAGACCCAGGGATGCAGCTGATGCCTAAACCCCCAGCTGGGTAGAGACAATATCTCCAAAAGCTAGTGAATTTGGGTGCTATGGGAGCAGCTCTTGGCTCTTGTGCATGGAGGCTGGGAGAGCCTGAGACAAAGGGACATGGTGGCCAGGGACATTTGTCCACACTTAGGCTGATCTGAAAAGGGGAAGAAGATCTCAAGCTAAAATATAAATGGGAGGTTTAGATTAGTCATTGGGAAAAATTTCTTCCCAGAAAGGATGGTCAGGCATTGGAACTGCCCAGAATGGTGGTGGAGTCTCCATCTCTGGAAATGTTCAAAGGGCATTTGAATGTGGCACATGGGGACATGGTTCTGTGATGAACACCGTGGTGCTGGGTTAAGTGTTGGACTTTTCAACCATAATTATTCTAAAAGGTGATTTTATATCTGTGGCTGCCCCAAACAAAGCTGGGGGTGCTGAGAGACTGAAATATCTCACAAAGGACACTTCTACAATTTTTTTTTTTTTTTTTTAATTCAGCACAGACTTATCAGCCTGTCTTGGCCAAAAGCAACCAGGTAGATTGGACCTGGATATTTCCAAATATTCTCCCTCTCTGTCCCTTCAGACGCAGGGGAAAAACACCTGGGAGCCTCAAACCATGGAACAGGGAAGAAGGATTCAGTGTCTGAAAAACACAGCATTCCAAGGGAACTCAGTGAGGGGACTAAAATGTATCTCTGGGAGTATACAGCTGGTAGGGCTGCCATGAGAGAAGGCAGAAAAGAGCCATCAGAGGCAGCAGTCAGTGGGTAGGGAAGGGTAGCTGCCTGTCCAAGGCTGGTGAGGGCACAACCAGCATGGACGAGTACAAGGGCTGTGGTTCCAGGCAAAGCCAAATAATGGCATGGCCCTGGCAGTGCTGGGTTATGCAGTGATAGAACAAGGGGCAATGGCTTCAAACTGAAAAAGATTTAGATTTATATTAGAGATTAGAGATTAGGAATAAATTCTTCCCTGGGAAGCTGGTGATGCCCTGGCTCAGGGTGCCCAGAGAAGCTGTTGCCCTATCCCTGGCAGTGTCCAAGGCCAGGTTGGACAGGGCTTGGAGCATCCTGGGACAGTGGAAGGTGTCCCTGCCCATGACAGAGGTGGCACTGGATGTTCTTTAAGGTCCCTTTCAAACCAAGCCATTTTATGACCCTATGATTCTGTGATCATGTTACTCAGAATTTAGTAGGAATTTAGTTAAGCCTGAGCATCCCTGGGAGCCCAAATAATGTGATGCAGTTTTGGCTCTGTCCTGGCTGGTGGGATCTGGAAGAGGAAGAGTGTCAAGGTAAAGCATCTGGACTTCAGAGAGGTGGCATCAAAAGGCACTTCAAAGGCATCCCCGGGTCCCTGGGTTTTGTGGCAGAGCATGGGCAGGGACATTGGCACGTGGTGCTGGAAATCAGGGATCAGGGCTTTCTCTTTAAAGCTGGTGCCCCCCAAGTGCTCAGTAAACAAATCCAGCCTGGAGAGGGAAGGAGCCAAGCTCAGATATTGAATCGTGGTCCAAGGGGAACCAGAGTGATTTTGTAAAAGCTCTGTCAATGCATTTTAGCAAATCAGTACATCCCGTTTGGCCCGGCTTTCCTCAACTAGGTCACTGGTTAATCTGATGTAGGCAATGAGCCACTTTCTTCATATTTATTCTTTGATTTTGCTTTTCTAGCAGGTATGGCTTCACAACCAGCATGATGAAAGAGTATTTATTGCTGGCACCTGAAAGCATTATGCTGCAATAGGTGTCTGCATTTAATTTCAAACACATCAGGATATCTCTAATTCCCCAGCCATGGGAAGTTGGGTGCAGTGAACTTTAGAATAATTTTTTATTAGTTCTCTAGTGTGGCTATAGTGAAGCTGAATTTTTAAAGTTAAGATAAAATGTCTGCTTGTCCAATTAGAATCATCTCAGAATGGCGGAAACACTAGTTTTATGTGTACAAATGAAGTTATTGCAATTAAAAAGTTATGCAAGAAGGAAAATTCTCAAAGTCTCCAAAAGAGCAAAGATAATATCGTTTATAGACTCTGGGAATGAGGGCTGTTAAAGGCATAGACTTGGGAAATATTTGCTGCAATACATTAAAAGAAGCAGGAAGGCAACTTAGTGAAAAGGAGTTTTTTGGTAATTTGCAGGAAGCATCACAGAATTTTCTTTTGGGAGCACAAGGCAACAAGGAAGTCCTTGATGTTTTTGTGGTCTGTGTTTGTCCTTGTGTGTTCTGAGATAGCACAGTCTGAATATTTATGATCAATAAATTAGATGGGAAATGATTAATGTTATTTGATTTCAAAATTATTGCCTTGTCCCTTTAACAGGCAGTTGAGAGCTTTTTTGAAACTGTTATTTCAGGCTGCCTTCAGGTGTGAGGAAGAGATTG